CCCCTGTCAGCTACAATCTTTATCCCAGAGATCAGACTGCCAATTTCAAATGGAAGCACCCTTTGTTCTTCTCTACTCTGCTGATGGGTCAGTCTGAGTTTCCTCTCTGGATTGAGTCCCAGGCCCTCTTCCATGTTCAGATTGATTCACAGTATGAGTCATCACCAATCCAGTGGAGAGTTGAGCAGAGAAGATTTTTCGTCCTTGGATATTCAAACACCAAGAATGTAAGATCTTTGCTTAGCATCAGGAAAATCATCTTAAGTGACAGCTGCCATTTTAAGAAAAATTTCTCTTCCCACCCAAGGGTGTTTCTCAGAAAGACTCACCACTCCCTCATACCAACCCACACTTCACCGCCCACATTAGGACTTGCCCAGCTCTGATTCCTAACCCTACCCCATAAAAGTCGCAAACCCCAAGCCTGTTTTGCCTCTCTCCATCTATGAAAAAAATTGAGATAAAATAAAAGGAAAGTGAAAGAATAAAGGGGAAAGATGTGCCTTTATTTGTCAGCTCTGACAAATAAACTCTCGTGTGTGTCCCTGCCTGGTCTCTGTCTTTCACTTCTAGCTTACCGGTCTCTCGATCCTCGATTTCCTTTTATTGGTGCTGAAAACTGGGATTGGGTTCCCTGGTGTGCCCTCTTCCAGGGTCACTGAGCATCCCCAGGCCCAATCCAAATTCCATGGTGGGACCAGGCCCTCCATTCTGCTTAACGCCCACTCTGCACCCACCACTGGACATTCCAGGTAAGACCCCTGTCTCTGGTCCACCTAAATGACCTAAGGGCCCCAGGAAGTGACCGTTGATCATCCGGCACTCCCAGGGTTACCGTGTGGTTGGGGGCACCCCCAACCACACCTTTCACAGCTATGGCTGATCCCTACAGTCGACAGAATCTATAGTGGTCTTTTATTTGGTTCCTGGGTTTTGAGAAAAACTTCAAGAGTTCTGTTTCTGTTCTCCAGTGAATCTCACCGTTACACTCACCCATGGTGCTCTGGAGACAAGCATCTGGAAAGAAGAAGAAATTGACGGGACACCCCTGGGGTCGGCTGTTGAGAGCCACAGCCACAGGGGCCCCAGCAAACTTCCAACTGCCAGCAAACTTCCAGCTGCCGGCTGATGATTGGCTCACAGTGGCCCCAGCAACATCTAGCTGATTGGCTCCTCTGCGGTGATGTTCATTGGGCTGTTTCCCTGCCCTTCAGACTGCCAGCTGATGATTGGCTCACAGCGGCCCCAGCAACATCTAGCTGATTGGCTCCTCYRCGGWGCTGCTCATTGGGCTGTTTCCCTGCCCTTTCAGACCACGGAGCTGCTCATTGGGGGACTTCTTTGGCTCCACCCACACGACCCAGCCAATCGGCCTCAAGAGCAGGAGGATTGTGGGAGGTGGTGAGGTTTGTGTGGGTGAGAGGTGTGGAAGCCGGTGGTGGCAGTTGGGCTCTGAGGGTTTTTTTTTCCTGAGGAGCTGTTTTGCTTGGCGTTTGGAGTTCTAAAAATAAAGTTAGTTTCTTTTGACAAGTGGCTCCTGAATTGTGCCCAGCCAGACTGAGGCAGTCGGCTGCAACCCTGGAGGGCGTGGCCCACCATTAACAGCTGCAGCTTGTGCAGACCCCACACACCATCACAGCACTGTGTCCAGTGTGGCTTCCTGTCGAGAAACTTGCTTCACAGAAAAGGAAGGGAAACTACAGGCCCATGGAGACGGGCCTCRCCACAGCCCTCGGCACCTAGAAGTACCCAAGAATCGGTCAGGGGCCAGGTGGGAGATTGCACCGTGAAATGATGGTCTTCAGCCCTTCTGGACACAGGGAACGCCTCCATCAGAGACTCTTAGGTGGTGCCATCTCTCCCAGGACCAGAATCCTTGGGTCCAGGAAGCTCATCCTGAAAAGGGAGGTACACAGTTTCTCCCTGAGCTCCCCAGACACCTCTGCCTATGGAACAGCTTTAGTCACGGCCGCTCGGGAAATGTCTGTGCCACCCACTGGCCACAGTCACATCTCTTAAACCAGCACCTAGGCAGCCTGAGACCTCTTCCAGGGATTTCCTCCTCTGGATCTGCTCCCACACCTGCGGATATACTAGTTGCTGCAATGTTGGTCATTCTTGTTTTCTGTAGAGTCCTCTATCCTCTGTTAGCAGCAGACTACTCGTTACTCAGTGTTGAATTTCCCCCACCCCATGGTTGTTAGTGAAATGTAGTTCTGACTGTATGGAAGACACTGTTTTTAGTTCTTCCTAATTTTAATTAATTGAATCCTTGTGACCACCACTGAGTGGGTACCCTAGTCATACCCAATGGACAGACGTGGGAACTGAGGCAAAAGAGGGTAAGTGCCTTGCCAGAATCACACTCGGTGATGTGGAGACGGCAGATGTGCACCCAGAGACCACAGAATCCGGAGTCCATGTATTACTGTCCCTGCTCCATGCCGCGCTCACTCTTTGAAACCTTGCATCCGATTTCTCCCATCTAATTTGGAGTCTCCCAATACCTTCCAAGTACCTTGTGACTCTATTCCCTCTTCCCATCAGAACCCCCAGTGCTGTTGGTCCCTTCCTCTAAGCCTTGTTAAACATGATGATTGGATTTATTTAATTTCTTTCTTTTTTTTTTTTTTTTTGGTACCAGGGATTGAACTCAGGGGCACTCAACCCCTGAGCCACATCCCCAGCCCTTTTTGTATTTTATTTAGAGACAGGGTCTCACTGAGTTGCTTAGCACCTTGCTGTTGCTGAAGCTGGCTTTGAACTCGTGATCCTCCTGCCTCTGCCTCCCAAACCCCTGGGATTATAGGCATGTGCCACCGCATGGGGCTTTTTTTTTTTTTTTTTTTTTTGCAGGTTTGGGAATTGAATCTAGAGGTGCTTGACCACTGAACTACTCTCCTGGCCCTTTCTATTTTTTATTTTGAAACACGGTCTCACTTAGTTGCTCAGCCTGGCCATGAGCTTGTGATCCTCCCACCTCAGCCTCCCAAAATACCGGGGTTTAAAGCTACGTGAAATGTAGTACCAGCTCTGTTACAGCATTTTAACATTATTTCTTTGCATGCAATACATTTTCCATGTTCATCCAGGGCAATTTTTCTAAAATACAAACTTATTTCCTTTGTGACACAGACTCACAGGAGGGCAGAGAAATGCTCTTATGAAGACAGGCCTGGAAGAGACTCGGGGTAGGTGCAGAGGTGACCAGATGGGAGTGATAGGGTGGGAGAAGGGAGTCAGAACAGGGAAAAGGAGAGGAGCCCTCCTGGGGCCGCCAGTTGTCACGATGTTCTGACGGAGTCATGGGCACCGACCATCCTGTGTTTCCTAGGCGACCAGTGGGGTTAGCTGTCCCTCCCATCCCTTCAGCTTCTGGGGCAGCCTTCCCTGTAGGACAGATCTGAGGTGGCCCCTGATGCCCACCCCTGCTGCCAACACAGTGTGAGCAAGACCTGTGACTGGCTTCTGACAGGAGGTGGCAGAAGTGACACCATGAATATCGTCCTGTGGTCATGATGACGCTCCAGTAGATTCTAGTGACCACCTTGCTCCAGGCTGCCTCTCTGTCGCTGGCTTTAAGGAAGCCAACAGCCATTTGAAGAAGGTCCTGTGGCAAGACACAGTGGATGGCCTCTAGATGTTGAGGGTGGTGGCCCCTGGCTGATAACAGTCAGGATACAGATGTCCTCAGCCTATAACCGGAGGCACTGGATTGTGCCTAACAACCTGGCTGAGCTGGAGGTAGGCTTCCCACGTGAGACACAGCCCAACACTGTCATGGYGGCCTGCGGGACTCTACCCAGAACCCAGCTGAGCCGTGTCCAGACCCCTGGCCACAGAAATGTGAGATGGTGACTGTGTCCTGTGGTAAGCGGCCATGTTTGTGGTGGTGGTRTGACACGGACACAGAACAGCCATAGGCCTTCCTCAAAGCTGCTCACATACAATCCCTGAGTTACCTGTCCACCCAAGATCCCAGGAGCCCAATCCAAATTTCCTGTGTGGATTGTCCCCAATGCAAGGACCAGGACACCTGTGGGGCCCCCTCCCCAGCAGTCAAGGTGAGGGCATTGGGACCTCAGAGGCTACAGTTGCCTAGCAGGGAGAGCCTCCAGCTTCTTCACCCGGGTTGAGGCTCCTCACAGGTGGATCTAGCCACCAAGGGATCATACATAACTACTGTGGGCCACCCCCTGTGTGCAGAACCTGGCATTGGCTAAGCAGAAGCAAGGTGCTTTGTGCTTTGTAATAGTGGGGACAATATCTAAGCTCTTAGAGGAGGGCAACACCTTGCTCCCTAGGGAATGACTTTCCATATCCCATTTGGCATCTGGAGCATCCAGAGACAGCCTTGGCTCCGTCTCTTGGGAGCCAGGGATCCACTGTAGCAAGTCCAGTTAAAGAGCTGAGCCAAGACAAAGCTCAGGGCTCCCCAGGGCTCCCTCTTTCCTGCCATTCCTCCCATCTTCCTTGGACCCCTCTCYTTCTCTGTCCAGTGGACTCCTCTGACACATTCCTGTGTTCTAGCCCAAAGGTGGCCAGACCCAGGAAGAGTTTCTTTGGAATTTCTAAGACTATGTGCAGCCAGTCTGAGTTGGGATTTGGTCATGACCTTGAACCTGGGCGTGGCCCCACAATGCTTTGTCACCGTGGGGGTGGATGCAACATCGACAGTGTGAAGAGATGAGGCCATTTATTCTGCATGGACCTTACAGGTGAGAAATCTGAAAGTTTCCTGAAGGCATTTTCTTCCCCTATTGGGATCTCCTTCACCTGAATGAGAACACAGGAGGCTGAGGCGCGACACGGCACCTGGTTGATAGCGGGAAAAAACGGACACTTCGGATTTTCTCAAATATGAAACCAGACATTTGTTAGCCTGTCGCATGCTCCTGTCTGGGCCATGAATTGATTCAGCATCTCTTTTCTCAACAAAGGCCCCAGCTCCTGGTAAAGGCCATCCATGCCCGGCCCTGCCCTGGGCACTAGGGTAATCATCATATGCCCTTTACATAACTGACCACAGCATTTACAACGTTCAGGGAGCATGGGAAAGAGAAAAACTTCTTATCAAATAAAACTAAGCATCCATGAAAGCCATCCTCCACGTGGTACCAGGTCACACGGACACCCTGGTCTTCCAAGCGCTTCTTATACAGAAGGGAGTCATCCCGGACCATGTCCACCTCACAGCTCACCAGGAAGGCCTCAGGAAGCTGAGCGATGATCTTATCTTCTGCTATGAGGGGTRCAATGTCTACATCCAACATTTGTTTGGTTTCCAGATAGGCGGCCTCATTAAAAGGTGCAAGGGTCTCAGGTTGCTGGTCTTTGCTCCTGAACCTCTTGGGGAGGTTGTCAGAGCTGAGCCACTTCCTGTACTTGTTCCAGAAATCACGGGGTATACAAGCCCCTTTCATCATGGCGTCTTTCCAGGAGAGGTCAATGGCCAGGTATGAACACACACATGTCATCATGAATTGTAGAGAAAGGAATGGGACGTTTTGGTTCTGCTGAAAGGAGGGTAACTGTAAATTGATGGCCTGCATAACGGGATAAATCAGGACCTGAGCCCGGATCTGGGGAAGATCTGTTTTGCCCTCCAAGATCTGGGTGATTAGGGCCACAGCCCCTCCTCCAAAGCTCTCTCCACAGGCCACCACCCTGGAGGGGTCCACCCCGTAGGCTTCCAGGGTCTTCAGGAAGTGGATGGAGGCATTGAGACAGTCTGTGACRGCCACAGGGTAATGGTGCTCCGGGGCCTTGCGGTACCTAAGGAGAAGAGGGACCAGAACACGCCGGTGTGC